TGTTTTGTCGATATTTATGATACAAACCCCATTTAGTGCAAACAAATGATGTCTAACATAATATAATATTGTTTTGTCAATATTTATGATAATATTTGTAAATCATAATTTATAATTTAATTTAATAATTATAAAAATATATTTTTTTCAAAAGTGGGCTGGTCCAGCAAGCCTGTAGTCCATGCACTTGTGGGCTGGGTCGATCATTTTCTGACCCACTCAAAAAATGGGTTAGCCCAGTTTGACTCGTAAAATATCAAAGCCTGTACGGATTAGCCCGGATAGGGTGGGCTAACCCATATTGACAGCTCATTAGAGGGGCTATATATGTTTACAAATATTTTATTGCTCAAGGTCCATTCTTCTTCTCTTTTGTTTAGTCGTAATTGATTTTGTTTTACTTGTTTAAATAAGAAACAAGGTAGGTTACTTTGAAAATAATTATTTTACTGGAATTAATATTATGAAAAATGTACTTTCAGTTTTTATTTTTAAAAATTATTAAGATATGTTGAATCCATATAAGTAAAATAAAGTACAATGACTTCGTTACAACCTTATTATAGATATGTCATTATAAGTGAAAGAACTTCTGTATTAATATTTCTTTATGAGTCGATTATTTTTTCAAAATATATGTAATTTACAATACAATATTATTTGTATGATTACACACATAAATAGAAAAAAACATAATTAATTAAAAATATGATATTTACTTTAATTTGCCTTTAAATAAATAAATATATAAAATAATTAGTAAAAATAAAAAACATGTGGCAATATCATTAATTTTATTTTCCATTGAAATTAATGACATTTGACTATGGGATTCCGATGTGAAAATAGTTAAAACTACAACAAAATTGTAACTAATAAATTTGACAATTTTTCACTTTAGGTTAATTTACAATTTGTTTTCTGTATGTATTAAACATGAATAGTGTTGGTTGTTTTAAATGTAACTTTTTGAAGATTAAATTATATTAATTTTAGTTTTCAATATTTTTTATTTTTTTGGTTTCACATTAGAGCCGTTATTCGGAATTAGGAGTTCTGATTAAATATGAATTATACAATATATAGTCCATTCGAAAGTAATGCTCCAAATATAATTTTTTTTCATATATATATATATATATATATATATATATATA